CAATTTGTATTCTTAATTGCATACACACGCCAGCATACTCAGTGGACTGTGAGTTATTTTTGTGCGGTTGGTCCTCTTTTTTATTTGTGTTTTTGTTCACGTTTTCTTTGCTTGGGCGCTGTGTGCTTTCTCCTGCATTGATGTGTGTTGGAGTGTTTTGAGTGGAGAAAAATAATAAAGAATACATAAGTATATTTGTAATTGTGCTTGGTCCTACAGGAAGAGGCATTTTGATGTATTTGTGTGCTGTCTACTTTTAATGGTTGTACTCTTTAATTTCTTTTATTTTTTTGAGGGGTTAATTGGGATTATCTGTTTGTTATTGGGTATTGTATGCGTTTTTATTTTAATGTGGGTATTATATGAGTTATGGTTGCAGTTTTCTGCATTGTGTGTGCTTCTGCTGTAATTATTGAGTGTTGTTTGATTTTGTATGTGTTTTTATATTCTGCTTTGTTTTTTAATTGATTTACTTTGTTTCTGTTTTTCTCTCTGTACTCTTTCTTCTTTCTTGTGCATTCCATTGAAGTAAGACAGGTGCAACGATATCCACAATTTCTGCAACCATTGGAAGAATAATAATGATGCGCTACGTGCTGTGTATCCTCGCTCTTCTGCTCTCATGTGCGTGTGTGCACGTCCTCGCTGAAGAAGTGCCTGCCGCCGATCTTTCCGACCAAGTCCCTGATACGGAGAGTGAGACTAAGATTCTTCTTCCAGCTACTCCTAAGTGCGCTAATGGTGGTGCTCCTGAAATTCATGGAGGTTCTTGTCCTTCTGCTCCTGGTGGTCCTTCTGGTGTTCTTCAAACGGCACCTGATGGTGTTGAAGATTGTACACAAGAAACGAATGGTCCTCCGTGTACTCCTAGCGGTGCTGGATCTGAAGTTGCTAGTACTGAGTGTGTGAAACCTTCTCCGGAGGCACGCTGCCCTACCAATGCCCGTGACGCTCAGGAGAATTGCACTTCTGGCGACTCTACTTGTCACAATAAACCACAAGAAGCAGCTGCCGCCAAAACAAGGGAAAATAGTGGAACCAATGGTAACCAACGTCAACGTCCCGATGGTCAAAGTCATCCTGAAAGTAATGAAGAAGAAGCTGCGGCGGATGGTGTACCTGGTGGTGGTGCTTCTTCTTCTTCTTCTGACCATTCTCCTGCTCCTCAACCTCCTGAGAGGAGTGATGGTGAGTCTTCAGTTGATGGCCAAACTGGAAACAATGGCAACCATACAACACGTGAAGGTGAAAATGGAGATAACAATAAAACTGCAGCAACACAAACTTCTGCTGACTCTCCTAACACATCGCCCACAGTGAGTGGTGATGGTTCAGATACTGGAACAGCCGAGAATGAGACTATACCTGCAGAGAGTGAGTCATCAAATAACCAAGAAGGTGTGGGAAATACAGATACCACGACGACCACCACCACAACTACAACAACAACACTTCCTCCTGAACCCATAAACAACAAGAAGGGTGATGCAGACAGCAGCAGCAGTATCAGCAATTCTGTGTGGGTGCGTGTACCATTACTGATTGTGGTTACACTGGCCTGTATTCTTGTGTGCTGATTGTGTGGTGGTGGTGGTGTGACTCAGGTCATCCTTTGTTTTCTTTTTCTTTCCTTTGCATACATCTCTACAGTCTAACTAATCTTCCACCTGTTGGGATTATCTTTTTCTTTTTTGTTTCTTAATGTTAATGTGTTTTGTGTGTTTATCCTATAATAATTATTATTGCTACTCCATTGTGTGTGTGTGTTCTTGGAGACTCTCTCTCTCTCTTTGTGCACCTGGGCTTGCACTGTAATAATGATAATGAACTGTTTTTTGCAGTGAGAGGAAAAATGAAATAATAATAACAGATGAATTTATATTTATAATTGCGTATATATATACATATATATAGACTTACACCCATAGGTGGTGTATATTTCTGTGTTTACTGTGTACGTTGGGCTAATTGCTAATATCTGTTTTGTTTGCTTGTGGTTGCTGATGGGGCATTTTGTTTTTGGAATTGCACTTTTTTGGTATTCTTGTTTTTGCATAAGGGGAAAAATAATAACTTTTACACATTTATTCATATTTGAATTTTCGTTTACCATAAAAGAGAGAGCTATATATATGTGTGTGTTTCCTGCTCTTGTTGCTCTCACATTTGATTTTGCTTTTTCTGTTTCAGGTCAATTGGTATT